CTCAAGGGGGTAGGATTTTTATAAGAATATTTTCTAAATTTATAAACCAAATTTATACAAAATTAATTTGACATTATTATCATTCATTATATTGCAGCTTGTAAGTTATTTAAGTCATTCTTCTTAACTGTTTCGCATATTCATATAAAAGCATTTCAACTGTGCCGACATTCTTGATATTATAGATGGTAAGTTTCAAAAGCATACTTTCTAGATTTTTCTATTAAACTCCTACGAGAAGTGTTTTGACCATGTTGTTATTCTGGATCTTTTAGACGGTAACTTTTCATAAGCCTATCTTTAAATTTATTTTGTAAATAGTTACGAAAGTGATTTAAATATAATATCTACTATCGTCTTATAGGGGGTAGGTTTTCAATTGCATATTTTATAGAATTTAGTTCACAAATATCTAGAAAGCGATTTAACTATATTTCTTCTATGTTTCAGATGGTAAGTTTCTTCTTCATACAGTATATTTGCTCCGTAAATTGAAACGAATATGCTTTTACCATATTGTCAACTATCGACTTATAGATTGTAAGTTTGCACGAGCATATTTAATTTGCTTCTCAAATTCATACGAGATGATTTAACTTTTTATTGATTGTCGATTTACAGTCGGTGAGTTTTTGAAAGCATCCCATTGGTTTTGCAAATTTACACGAGATGATTCAACTGTGTCACCATTTTTGATCTCACAGAAGGTAATTTCTACAAGCCTATTTTCTGAGCTTATTTTGTAAATTCATGCGAATGGGTTTTGATCATATTATCGATTGTTAAACCTATAGACTGTAAGTTTTTATTTGTTAAATGTGTTCATAAATTCTCAAGAAAGCTCTCTAATTACATCGGTTGTCGACGACTTATAGGGGGTAAGTTTTTACAAGCATATTCCTAAATTTGTTGAGAAAGCTCATAAAAAGTGCTTTAACCATATGATCTTATAGTCGGTAAGTTTTCACAAGCTCATTTTCTCAAATTTTTTTTTCTACAAATTCTTGCGAAAAATGCTTAACCACGTATATTATTATTGTTATACAGATTGTAGGTTTTTATAAGTTTATTTTCAAATTTTGGTTTGCAAATTTTTAAGACAAGTGCTTTTACCATGTCATCACTCTTAGATGGTAAGATTTTGCGAGCATATCTTCTGAACTAAAATTTTTAAGAAAGTGCTTTAACAACTATATGTCGAATATTATAGGGAGTAAGTTTCCATAAAAGAATTTCTAAATTATTTGCAAATCCATACCCGGTATATTAACGATTTTTATTCTCGACATTGCAGTTTGTAAGTTTTCTCATAGATGTTTTCTAAAAATTTGCTTCTCGAGTTCCCAAGAAAAGTGTTTTCTCGGTATAACTACTATACTCCTCGTATTGCAGATCGTAAGCTTCCAATTGCATATTTGAAGAAAACCATGTTTCGTGAATTATTAATGCAGCTTTAATTATATTATCGATTGCCGACTTCAAGGGAGTAAGTTTTACAAACAAATCATCCGGAAAATAGTTCAACAATATTATTGTTAAATTAATTTTATCAATAGATATGTGCAATCAATGTAATAGGACGACAACGTCTCCTTACTGGTGTCAGCCATGCAATTCATCTCGCTTCGAAGATGAATTTGTCGATCGAAAAAGTGGGAATGATGTCATTGATGAATTCTTAAGAAAAATTCAGCTAGGCGCGATCAGCCATGAAAAAGTACTCGAATGGATTCCATATTCAAAGTTAAAAGTAAACGAGAAGCCTATAGGGGAAGGTGGTTTTGGGAAAGTCTATTCGGCCGAATGGACCGAAGGGTATATCCTTTATTGGAATGAAAGAGATGGCCAATGGAAAAGAAAAGGCGTTACGAAGGTTGCACTAAAAAGCCTTGACAATTCTCAAAATATCGCTAGCGAGTTCTTTGATGAGGTGATTAAAATTCTTAAAATAATTGGGATTTTTTTTTTCCTTAAAATATTCATTTTAAATGTTCACTAAATGCGCATAATATTATTTAGATAAAAAATTTTTTTGATTGCACCAAAGAATACTCTAGAGTTGTTAGATGTTATGGAATCACAAGAGATGAAAAGACAAATGACTTTATGATGGTAATGCAGTTCATAGAAGATGGTAGCCTGAGAGAGAAATTGCCTGAATTTCGCAATATGCCTTGGGGCGAAAAATTAACTAGCTTATGTCGAATTGCGGAAGGTTTATACCAAATGCACAAAGTAAACCTAGTTCACCGAGATTTTCATAGCGGAAATGTTCTGTTGTATTGTATTATCGAAAAAATATTTTATATAGCCGATTTAGGTTTATGCAAGCCAGTCACAGGATATGGTAATAGAGAGGAGGAAAAACGAAAGGTATATGGTGTTCTTCCATATATAGCACCAGAAGTTTTGCGTGGGGAAGAATATACAGAAGCAGCTGACGTTTATTCATTCGGAATTGTCATGTCTGAAGTGATATCTGGCATTCCTCCTTTTCACAACATTCCACACGATTACAATCTTACGATTGAAATTTGCAATGGAAAACGACCTAAAATTCAAAGGAATACTCCAGCATTAATTGTTGAATTGTTGAGAAAATGTTTAGACGCCAATCCTTACGATCGCGTAAGTTCTTATGAATTGCGTGGTATCTTGAGAGTATGGAATCGTTACGAGGAATGGGAGAACTCCGAACTTTTCAGGCAGATTAAGGAAAACAAAGACAAGACGTCGTTCTCTTTATATAACAACGCAGTACTCGAGGAACATCCATCGACCCTTTACACCAGTCGACTTCTTAGTTTTGAAGATCTTCCGCGACCCGTTAATTCTGATATTGAATATTACGACGACTTTTAGCAGTTTGATTTAAATTCTTTAAAGAGAAATTATCAATGGAAATATAAGCTCTTTAATATCAATGTTTATTTTTTATTTATTCATTTTTTATTTTTTTTATTCATTTTTTATTTTTTTTTTTATTATTATTCGTTTTTTATTTTCGTTTTGATTATTATTTAAAATTTCTAATGGATTTGATATGCAATAGACGCGGAAAGTATGTGACGCCATTGATTTTTTTTATGATAGTATATAATATCTATTACTGTACGTATTATATCTTTAACGGGCGTTCGGGTATTTACAGTATTTATATTAAAAAATTTCAGCTCTGATTACTTTGTATTTTTCACATCTATATTGACTGACACATACTGTGTATAACTTTTTAAAGGGCATATATGCATGAATAATAAAATGTGCTAGTGCACGCAATTTTTGGATTTTTTATTTTCTTAAAGGTGCATTGCAAATAAATAAATAAATAATAATAATAATAAATAATAACCAGAATTTCATTTATTATTGTATTTTATTTATTTATTTATTTGAATTAAAACGATCCAAGCTCTATATGAGAATCATTCCCGTTTATCTTCTGATTATTTCTTGAAAAAGGTATTCGATAGAATTTTGATTAATAAAATCTTTATAGAACAATGAATGGTTGAAGATTAAATCCCCCCCAAAAAAAATTATTTTTCGTAAAAGTGAAACTTATCAGAGAATCTAACGGAATAAACATGTCCTGAAATTGTTCGCAAGGAGACACGTCAAGCGCATAAGAATATTAGGTGAAACAGCCTCAATTAACTTATTATTATTTTTTTTTTTACCTAGTTCAATGGATTTTACTTTACTGAAGTCGTCATGTAAGTTATTCGTAATAGAAAGAGGTAAAATAAATAATCATAATTGAATATCCCCTTCGAAAAGCTGTCACACTTAGCGCTAATGTAATCGAAAGAAACTTATTGTCATACCTAAAACTTGAATTTCAAATAAACATTACTCGTGAATAATAAAAGAATGTTAGCTCGCTACGACATCTCTGGTGATGCATTTGCATTTTTTATACTCAGACGATTTAAAAGAAAAAAAATTTTTTAAACATGTTTAGTCGTTGATGATTTAGAAAATCCATTGCCGAGATTCAAAATGGAAGAAACCTCGTTTGCTCGAGTCGAACCGAGACAAGGTCACGCGAAATTTGACACAGGTTAATCAATGGCGTAATGTGTTTGCCTTACCCATTTAGGGTTACAATGGCTACGTAAGATGATCTTAATTTTTTTTTTTTTTTTTTTTTTTATGCTGCAATGTTGCTTTCAGACTCATCGAATCTTTCGCCTCTCTCCCCGCATATTTACTACCATCTCGCTTAGATGCTAGAACTTTTTACGATGTTCTTCTTTTGTTGCCGACTTTCGATTGCGAACGTGTTGTGTATCACCACAACAGGTTAATGATCAAGAACGGCCTCGTAGTACTCTCCGCAAAGCGTGATGTTGGAGTAAGAAATAATTGACCATAATGCTTTCTTCAAGGCACGGGCATTACGAACATTTTCATTGGTATTTTTTCGCCAATTTTTGTTTATCTAAATCGTACAAATCCGAGCTAGAATAATAAATTAGACTCAAAAGTTACTGTAGTTGTCTTGGTGTACTTTACAGATGTTTTGCTAAATCCAGGACTTGATGCGGTCGCTTTTAAATTTATTCACTCTAATAAACACGCATTCTTCATTTATTAAAAACAAACCGTTATTACAGGAACCATAAGGTGACCAAATTTGCATACCCTAAGCGACGAAATTTGAATATGGTGTCACCACGACTTAATGACCATTTTGGAATTCCCAATAAAGTATACATATTTAATTTAATATATTCGATATTATATTGTTAACTACGAAATATATATTGATAGATCAAATAAAAAAACAAAGGTTTTTTTTACTTGAGTGGCGGTTGACAAGCTTTCAAATCATCACCTACGTACTGTGGTTATCTGATCACACGATACGTACACACCACCGTACCTTTCTTAACCCATATTTGGCAATAGTACGACAGAAAATCGAATACTGTTAATTTGACAAAAAAAAAATTTTTTTAGCAACTTTTACTGCTAGAACCGCAAAGCTAAAAACAATGTCGAATCCTACCAGGAATTACTCTTCGAACCTTCGAGGTTCGCCGCTGATTTACGAACCAATGTCAAAGCATGATATAGTTACTGCCTTCATGGACTGGGTATGTTTTTATTACGTATTAATATTATTATTTCACGAAATATCCGTATACAGCATACGTATACGGTATGCTGTATATACAGTATATGTATATGTGTGTATATTTGTTTGTTTGATTTTCGATACGGTGACAATTTTCAATCTAATTACCTAGGCAAACACCTTCGATAACCTCTCTTGCACCGTCAATTCTATTCATGATCTTTCTGATGGTAATGTTCTGATCAGCATGCTTTGTGACATGTAAGTGGTGGTTAGGTGACTTAATATTTGAGATATCAATGGTTCTTTGTCCTTTTTTGCTCATATTTTATATGATCAACAGTGATCAAAATTGGTTTAAGCTGGTGACCCATGTCCCTGAGAATCGCAAAGAAAACTGGTTTGTGAAATATGACAAGCTCAAACGATTATACACATTACTTACACGCTATTACGAAGAAATTCTCGGTCTGCCCGCTAAAAATATTGAATCTCCTAATCTAAAAGTTATTGCAAAAGATGAAGATTTTGATGAGATAGTGAAGCTTTATTCGTTGGTCCTTACGTTGGCTATCAGATCGTCAAATAACGTAATTTACATCGAGAAAATCCAGTCTCTTAGTCAAAAATCCCAGGAAGGGTTGATGATATCCATTGAAAGAGTATACTGTTAATTGCAAAAATAATGTACTTTTTATAATATATTATTATTTATTTTTTATATAAACCTTACAGGTAATGAAAAATTTTGGAGAATCTACATTCAAATCTCAAAATCCGGTTTTTGCACCGTAAATAATTTTATATTGTACTTAAGTAATGTCATAATTTCTCTTGTTTATCATTTGTATTTGTACGTATATAGTAGCGACGAGTTAAGCCAGATTACTGAAGAACACAAAAGACTTTTGGTGGAAAAAGAAGCTTTGGAAAGAGCACATCAAACTCTAATCACTGATAACACCGAATTGCGACTTCAATGTGTACGTGAAACAAATCAAAAATTTTGATTGTGTTTATTTACGATTATCTGAATTTTATAGGATGATTTTGAAATAGAATGTGAGGAGCTAAAACAAAAGCTTAAAATTGTGAAGAGTACGATAGCACAAACTTCTAAAGATGGCCATGCTGACTTCCCTATGAAAAATGAAATTGATAATCTTCGTCATGAATTGCAAGTATTGTTTTTATTTTGCTCTAAATTAATAATTACACAAATTATTTATTTGATGAAATTTGCATTTCTCTTAACACATTATATGTCTTGTAGTGAAAACAAGCGTCACGAGACGGAATTGTTAATTGATGATCAAAATCAGATGATAAGGGATCTTACTCGTAAAGTAATTAAATCGTCATCAATTTTTTATTTTCGTTTCATATCGTATCTTTGATTACTCTTCAATATTATCTAGGTCGAGAGTCTCTCTCATCAAGTCGACGAAGCCGAACGATTAAAAGACCAGCTAGATGAGTTTAGATCCACTGCCGAAAAACTAAAGAAGACACAGAATATTCTTGAAAAATATAAAAAGAAGTTAGAAGAAAGTGCGGTCATGCGAAGATCACTTAAGGTTGCATATATGTTCGTTCAATTCATAAAGCAAAGCAATTTGGTTCTCTAATTCTATTAATTTTATTCGACCCGAAGATACTGGAACAAGAAAACAAAGATATGGATAAAATCAATCAGGATTTGCAGATGGAATGTCGAAAAATTGAAACGCTCAAATCCTCGATTGAGCATTATAAACGAAAAATTATCGAACTACAAAATGAAAAGAATGAATTGGCAGATCAAAAGGAAAAATATGAACGCAGTGAATCCAAAATGAAAATAAAAATACGTTCTTTAGAAGACCGGCTTGAGTTGAGTAATGTTAAATGTCATTTTAGAAATTTTTAATGACATATTATTAATTATCACAATTTACTCGACTCAAAAGAGAAAAGGAAACTGAAGAATTTGAATCTGCTGATAAATATGATAATGCCAGGGTACTTTCAGTGGATTTGGAAGGAAGTACAATGGCTAGCCTGAAATCCAAAATCAATAAAATTGAACTTGAGTTAGAAGAATTGCGTGAAAGTAAAGAAAGTAAATCAGCCGAGCTATTAGTTTTACAGCATCAATTGGAAGACGCAATCAAAGATAAGGGCAAATTGGAAAAGGTTAAATTATTATTAATTTATTTATGAGTTTTTTTTTTTTAAAAAAAAAAAAAAGAAAAGGAATAAATGAGTAATACAATATAACTACATTTTGTATTCAATTTGTTGATAATTTATTACCTTATTTTCGAAAATTACAGGAATATTCTATAGCTTGTCAAGAAAAATTGGCATTAGAGAATGAACTTGTGCGACTGCAAAGTAATGGCTCTGACAGGTCTGTTTTAACGATTTTTTATTATATACTGTATATCTGAAATTAATTAGAATTTGAAATTTTTTATTAAGGGACAAACATGAAAATAACTTCGAAAATGAAAAAGAATTGGCGGAAACTAAACGAAAATTGATCGAAATTCAGATTAAACTCGAACGAGCAGAAAATGAATTAAGTGAAAGAGAATCATATTGTATGTTTGCCAATGTTTCTTATTGACAATGGTGATTCATTTTCTAAAGATGAATGTGAATAATCAAGTGGGCATTTACAAAAATAATTGTAAAATATACAGAAAAACCATGTTGCAATATTATTTTTATTTGTTTATTTATTTTGCAAACAGCAGACCTTGAGGCCAGAGTCAACGAATTAGAAGAAGAAAAAAAAGTTCTTATGAGCCAAAATAAGTATGTTTTAAGAATATCACAGAGTTTATTTTGTCTACACGTGCACTTATTTTATTTATGCATATTATGTAACATTTCGTTATGAACTTAGTGAATTAAATTTCATTATGGAAGGTAGAAGCGAAGATGATATCAAAAGTCAGAATATTATGCTCTTAAAAAAGATTGCAGATTACACAAGTAAAGTTGAAAAATGTAAAGCGCTAATCACAGGTCAACATGAAATTATTGAGTACTATAAGAACAACGAATGTCTTATCTATGCCGAAAGAAAGGCTCACGCCGAGGAAATTGCGCTTCTTGAAGTGAGAACAATCTCTTCGTAATTATATTATTACAAAAAAGTAGTCTCATCATCTATGTCTATAATAATAGCGATTGTGCCGTGAAAGTGAGGCTCAAGCTGCTAAAGAGACCCGGATGGTCTTGAGTGCTTGGTTCGACCTGGGCCGACGTACCCAGGGCGACAATATATTATTTCGACGCCGACAATATTCATCTTTCCTCAATCAACAACGACGGATCCTAGATAATCAAGTAAGAAATATTTTATGTAGTTTCCAATCATTTATAAGAGCAATTTTATTTATGTTTTTTTTACCTTTCCTATTCAGGTTAAACGACGATAAGTGCTTGGTATTGGTATAATTAGTAAACATTTTATTGTTGATGAATTACCTTTGTGATGTATAATATTACAGTCATCACGATATTTGGTATAGTCTTATTTTGATCCTGTACGAAAGAGCATCATGGATAATAATATTTTTTTATTGTTATTTTCATTGTCTTGTTATTAAAATTATAATAAATTAAGTTAAACCAATAAGATCAATAGCTTGGTCGTAATAAAATAATTAATTTTATTGGTTTATTGTATCTGTTTTTAATGCATATATGAATACGGAGAAAACAGATATCACATACACCTTTAAATTATTTATTTTACTTTTCAAGAAAATTTTTAGATATTTGCTGAATACATTTTACGAATTTTATGCAAATCAAACAATCGGTACTTTAATTGTTATTGATGTATGCTTTTTTTATCCACTATATCATCAAAAAACAAAAATAATTAATCATGATTTATAAAATGAAAAAGATATCAAAAATAAAATTTAAAAGTAACAATTGTTATTATAATAGATATTATTATTTTAACTAATGAAGTTTATTCATAATTGCAAATATTAAATTTATTTTATATTTTATAAATTAAAATCATTTATATTATCTATATATAATATTTTACAAATATATCAAAAGTATTAGTTATATTAAATTGTAAATATACTGTATATTATTTTAAAAATAGTAAAAATTTAATAAACAAACATTATTATAAAATATATTAATAAAATTTTAAAGTATAAATAGTTGATATCCCAAACTTTTCTAAAAAGTACTTCCTCTTGTGATTTTTTTGTTGATTATATTTACTAAAGAAAAAAGAGTGAGACATGCGAGCTGTTATTTTCTATCTAATATGTCCTAATCTAACCTTTTTCTTTTATATAACTAATAACATAATAGATTTTATATTATGTATTCACTTGTGTAACAAATATATAATTTATATGGATTCCAGATTTTCATAAGTCTAGAAAATTATATTCACTATGTGATATAATCAATTTTTTTTTTTTTTTTTTTTTTAAGCTGACTTGATCAAATTTATTAGCAAGTTTAACTGTATGGATACATCCGACCAGAAAAAAACAATGATATACTAGTAAACTAATGATAGGTTTAAAAACCATCTTATGGCTGAGCCATCTTCAAACAGAGACCTAATCAAAGAACCATTAGGGCGATATAAAATTTAAAAGGGGGAGTTGCTATGTGTATCGATTTTAATTTATCTAACTTAACCCTAGGGGGATAAAGGGGGTTGTATTCGGTACCCTACTTTATCAACTCTATTTAGAGGAGAAAATTGAAGCTAAAGCTATATAAACTTAAACAGGGGTAAAGATTTTGCATTACAAAAAAGGTATAGGATGAAAGAGAGGAAATGATTTGGTTATGGGTGACTTGAAGACATGCTACTACTACCATATTGATACTGTGGCTGGTTACTCTTCAAGGGCTTCATCGGTTCAGGACGTAGTACCTATTCCTTCACTGCTTTCAGTATCTCCATGTTGTGATTCTTATCTACTAGTTCTTGTCTTTTTCTTCCATACCCTATCCAGTATGGGATTTTCTACTGATATTCTTCTGGGTGATAATAAGTCGAGGGCTTTAAAAAGCTCTAGGACATAGAGAAAGTGAATGGGCACTGGGATATTAGGGACTCGTCATTCAACAATCTGTCCTCCTTTATCATTGCGATAACTTCAGTCTAGAAAGGAGAATTTTGAACTTCCAGCATGCACCTTGTTGGACTTGGTAAATATCATGCTGTTTTTCCTAGAGTACTACCATCAGTAGAGATTGAGCCGTTTGTCTAATATCCATGTGACATATTCTTCAGCCATCTGAGGTCATTTGATTGCATGTTGGTGTTGTTGATTAGGTGTGAATGATCCTAATATCTCCCTGATCTCCCAATATTCATGTTAATAAAGAATAGATGTGACACTTTTAGGGCGTCATTCTCATTCTGTGTTCATTTGAGCCTAGTCTTCTTTCTTTTTTCTTGATAGAGGAAAGGGAAGGATATGTTCTTTCTCTTTCGCTTAGCCAAAGATGTAGAAGTTGACAGTGTTCATTATTCACCTGTACTAAGGCATAATATAATGACTTATGGTGGACCTCAGGTTCTTATAGAGTTGAGGAAATGCATTCAAATACATGAAGTGACCAATAGGGGCTTGTTTATCAATCTTGTTCAACATGTTTCACGTCAGCCAATCAGAGTTGGTGAGATTTGTGCTATCCAAAATTTCAGGGTCAAACTGGTATAGGCAAAATTCCCCAAAAAACTGTAAAAAGGATAGCTCTAAGAGGCTACAATACCAGTCAAAGGGGAGGAGAATGAGTTCTATGACAGTGACAGAATCTCTGTTATCTCCATCATAACTGAGAGGTGAACGATACTTCAGTATTGATCCTTCTTCCTTTAAGAACTTTCTTGCCATAGGTAGTAAAGGTGAAAGCTGGACTTTGCAGGTCACAAGAGTTCAGTTTGTTTAAAGAAGATTGTAAATAAGAAGGTGAGGTGAGGTGAGAGAGTTCTGAAGGAACTCTTTAAGTTGGTTTAAAGACAGTGGTAAGACCTTGTTAGCATAGAAGTATTGAAACTTCTTGCAAACATCTTTTTTGTGTGTGGTTAGAGGATCAGTGGAAAGAGTGCTTTTTAATGTGATATAATCAATAAAAACTTGTTTATATCTTTATTACTAATATATTTTTTATTATTTAATCCTGATATAAAAAACTTTTTGATACTCAAATCTAAAATCAAATTGTAATAAGTAAAATCTCTTAGAAAAATTATGAAAGAATACTATTAGACCCAAATAATAATAAGAGAGTATTGTAGTTGTTTTCAAAAAAATCTTTCATTATAATAACAATCATATATTATTTTTTTAATAAGTTAAATAAAATAAAAAGGTCAAGTTGACTTCTTTTCAGGCTTTCTTGCCATTAGTAAAAAGGATAATTTTGTTTTTATAGTTAATAGAAACACGTTTTTTTATAATAATATATACAAAGAAATAGTTAAAAATTTGAAAAACTCTTGAAAACATTATTCTCAAGTTGGTTAAGAAAAGTAATAAGATTTTATTAGCATAAAATATAAAACTTTTTGCAAACACCTTTTTTGTGTATTATCAAATAATCAATAAAAAAAATCTATTAGTATATTTTATATACTGCATATTATATATTTAAATAAATTAATTTGAATTAAAATTTTATAAATAAAATAGGTTTTTATAATTATAGATTATTTTTATATATAATTATTATATTTCTTTTTTATTTTTAATTTTATTTTTTATATAAAATCTTATATTATTTGCAATTAATTATATTTGATAAAATTTATTAAATTAAATATAATATATAAAAAATAAATAACAATAATATACTATTATTAATTATATAAAATTATTGTTTTTATAAACATAATTAATTTGATAATTTGCTTGATACATTTGTTTAAATAAATATATCAAATAGATCTAATTTAATTATATTTTTATAATAATAATTTTAAGTATATTAATATACGGTTGCTTCCAAAAGTTTGAGTCCACTTACTATGTTTTTATTATAAATTTCAACTTTGACAATTTTTAAATCCTTAACTAAAAAATCAAAAATTATAAAATTTATATATATTATATTTTAATACTTATTCTATTTCTCATATTTTTTAAAAAAATTTTTTATTAATACATTCTAAAGTTTTATTATTGTTAAATATTTTTATTTTTTTATTAATTATCATATAATTTATGGTAACAGCCAATCAAAATTCTCCAAATGTAAAAATTTAATAAAAAAATAAATTTTTTAACAATAATAAAACTTTAAAAATTACATCTCAAAAATTTTTGAAAAAAATATTATAAATAAAACTAGTATTATGATATAAAATATATGGATTTTATAATTTTTGATTGTATAATTAAGGATTTAAAAATTCTTAAAGTTAAAATTTATAATAAAAACATAGTAAGTGAACTCAAACTTTTGGGAGCAACTGTAATTATTTTCTTCTTATCTTTTATTTTTAAATAAAATATTTTTTACTAGTTTTCTGATTATATATAAAAATATTTATTAAAAGTTTTTAATTTTTTAATAAAATTCTATTACAATTTTAAAATAATTTGTAAAATATTTTCAAAAGTTGGTATTATAATACTTTTTTTTATTTCTAAATTTTTTTAATAAAAATTTAATTTATATAATTAAAATAAAAATAAATAATTTTTTTATTATTAATAATACAATTTTTTTAAAAAAAATTAATAATAAAGTATTTAAAACTTTTCTTTCTAAATAATTTTTTTTTAAAGCAAAAACTCTTTACTGATTTTCTAACTATACACAAAAAAGATATTTACAAGAAGTTTTTATACTTTCTTGCTAATAAAGTTTCAATACTTTCTTTAAATAACTTGAAGTATAATTTTAAGAGTCACTTTTATCTTTCTCCTATTGTTTACAAACTTCTTCAATCAAAAATGTGACTTCTAGTAATCAAGAAAAGTCAAGAAACATCTTTGATACCAATGGCAAGAAGGTTTCCAAAGGAAGAAGAACTAATTGTAAAATACTTGAAGATCTTTTTAACCTTTGAAGTGAGAGGCTTATAGAGGTTTTTGTGCAGTAAAAAAGCTTATTTTCTCTTTTTTTGACT